TATACGTACATATATACACACGAATGCACACACTGCACGCACGCACGCACGCACGCACACGCACGCGCACGCACGCACGCACGCACGCACGCACGCACGCACACACACACTGCACGTATTACTAGCGATGCCCGCGCCGTCAGATGTATACGTACATATATACACACGAATGCACACACGCACGCACGCACGCACGCACACGCCTCCTTCGATGACATGAAGTGAGGAGACGGGAGAAAGAACGAAACGATGAAAGGCTAGCAGCTATGGAACATCACGGGAGAGAGCGCTTTCCCACCAGCAATCAATCAATCAACCGCAATCAATATCAGATCTTCGAACCAATCATGCTTCATGCTGTAAATATAAGCAGATGAAACATACAAACCCACATGTAACCATCCACACACAAATGTGCATAATATCATGATCATGTGTAATACCCATGACAACAACAAGCACTGCACCACGTGCATGGTCGGCCATGTCTGCGTGGATATCCGGCGTCACATAGGTGGCGCCACTACTCACCGTATGTCGGCGACGAGAGCTGTCAGCAAGAAGAGCATCCGGCGTCACATAGGTGGCGCCACTACTCACCGTATGTCGGCGACGAGAGCTGTCAGCAAGAAGAGCATGCGGCGTCACATAGGTGGCGCCACTACTCACCGTATGTCGGCGACGAGAGCTGTCAGCAAGAAGAGCATGCGCATGTCGAAGTATTTGATCTCGTGCGGTAGCCCCGGGTCGCGATATGTTTTCAACCTCTGTACGATGCCCTCTATGCATCCACTATAACTGCACACAAAGAAACAGAAAGTGTGTGTGAGAGAGAGAGAGAGAGAGAGAGAGAGACAGGGCGACTGAAAGAGAAAAAGAGTGAGAGAAAGAGAAAAAGAGAGCGACGACAGTGCGTGTGAGAACGAAAGAGAGAGGTGGAAAGTGGGAAAGGGAGAAAAAGAGAGAGAGAGAGAAAGAACGAGAAAGAGAGTGGGAGAAAGAGTGAGAGAAAGAGAGAGCATGTAAGAGTGAGTGAGAGAGAGAGAGAGAGAGAGAGAGAGAGCGCGCGAAATTGAGAAAGAGAGAGATCTAGAGAGATAGAGAGAGAGATTGAGAGAGCTTCTCGTTAATGATGGGCAGTCGGTTGTTGAGAGACAGAGTCAGCAACCTTCTGTGCCAACCCCGAGGCAACTCTGCTTTCTTCATCGATAACTTCCCACTTCATTATTAAGATAGCATCGAATAACTTAAACGTTACATGCTACAAATAAATCAAATTACGAGCGAAATAGATGGAAAAACATCATGGAAAATTACTGATTTTCATCGGAAAACATCTTCAGGGCCATGCCACTCGAGACTGTCCGAAGAAAAAGATGTACTGTAACCAGATTTCAGGATACGAACCAATATTTCTTGATAACTTCAAGGTTGCGATGTTTTTCGATCGAATTTTAAACAAGGTTAATGCCACTTACCTACATGACCTCTGTGCCGATGAGCTGTTGAAAATAAGGTTGCACAGGCACTTTTGCGCTTCTATCACCACTGCAAACAAAAACACGAGAAGAATGAGGAGAAAAGCTGGCCTGTAGTGATAAGATACGTGACTATAATAGCATATACAGCGCAATAGCTACCCATCATAGGTTTACAGCTTTCCTACTATGCATCGCCACCTGCTTCTTCAATCGATTCGAGTTGGTGACGAGAAAACCCGCAAACAGCTTCCCTGGAGAGAACACAGCCGCCCGCGTATACGTGCAGCCGATTGGCACGCGACATCCACACGATACATCTACACGTAGGCATGTTACTATCAAGAGCGTATAAAGAAGCCTTCTTTATACGCTCTTGATAGTATAAATGTTACAAATGACATCTCTCTCTCTCTCTCTCTCTCTCTCTCTCTCTCTCTCTCTCTCTCTCTCTCTCTCTCTCTCTCTCTCTCTCTCTCTCTCTCTCTCTCTCTCTCTCTC